AAATGTAATCATATTAATATCAGTGCATTCATGGGCCCGATGTTCTATTGTCAAGGAAGAAGAAAAGACAGAGTGAAGGGACAGAGAGCAACATGAACAAGCTAATTCGGACAAGAAACCTTTTATCTTAGTTAGGGTTTCTGTGACTGTGATGAAACACCATGACCACAATCAAGTTGGGGAAAAAAAGGGTTTATTTGGCTTACACTTCCATATTGGTGTTCATCACTCTAAGAAGTCAGGACAGGAACTCAAACAGGAAACCAGAGGCAAGGGCTGATCCAGAGGCCATAGAGGGGGCTGCTTACTGGCTTGCTTCCCATAGCTTGCTCAGTCTGCTTTCCTATAGAACCCAGATCCACCAGCCCAGGGGTGGCACCACCTACAATGGGCTGGTCTCTCCCCCCATAAACCACTAATTAAGAAAATGCCCTACAACTAAATCTTATGGAGGCCTTTTCTCAATTGAAGCTCTCTCCTCTCTAGCTTGTGTCCAGTTGACACAAAACTAGCCAGTACATCTTTGTTCTGGTACTTTCCACTAGGGTGGCTAAGGTGGCCAGATGTCCTATTGTTTGATGTCCTCTGATAGGCAAACGTGTCACTGATACTGACTGAACGTATTCTTTTAAAGAAAACATCATTTATAAAGAATATGTTATTGGAAATCTCTTAACAAAACTTAAAAGTGTCTTCTTTTAATTATTACTATTGCATGTGTATACCATGGTACACATATGGAGGCCAGCAGACAACTCTGAGAAGCTGGTTTTCTCCCTCTGCCATATGTGTGCTTAGGGAGATAGAATTCTGGTTGCCATGCTTGCTTAGCAAGTATCTCCACCAACTGAGCAATCTTGCCAGCCTACGAGATGTTTTCCTAAAGGAAAATATTCCTCAACATACATGATATCATACTTTCGGTAATGAAATTTGTCTTGGTTACCACTTAAGAACAGTTTCTAGTTACTCATCCTAGAACACAGAAATGCCTGGGGCCCTTGAGTTACAACTTCTAAATCTCCCAGCCACACAGTCTCAGCTCTGAAATGAAGACAATGTACTTTGATGATGATATTCCCAACAAGAATAACTAACAGTCACTGAAAACTTATTCTCAGAGTAAGGTCTAAATTAATGATGTGTGAGATCTAAATTAACAGCAGTGAAATAGTAACACATCCACAAAGGACAGTGCTTAGGGGCGTAAGAAACTGCTGATGGTACTGTACATTAACACATTAACAAACAGAAACAAACACTGAGAAACTCGTGCACTAGGTAAAGAATCCACTGCAGAGGTGACCCCACTCTTCCTAGGCAACGGAGTTAAGGTCTAGATGCCAGACCTTGCAGTCTGGTTCCATGTCTCACACCATCTCTCTACTTCTTACCATCACTGTCTCTTACAGGGCAAGTCAGGGTAGAGAGCAGGTGCTACTGTAAGTACTGAACAGACACTGTTCAAAGCCTATACTCGGAACCCTTAGACTCTGCAGCCCCCAATCTGGCCCAATTCTGACATTTCAGTTCTGATCACAGATGGTGTCTACTTTAGGCTCAAGCTTTGCCAGTGAGTGGTGTCTTAGAAAATGCTTTAGACAAAACCTTAAGTTCCTAAGTTGGTAAGGAAGTATCAATTTCAAATTCAAAATTTTGTTGAGAAAAATCTATTCTCTGTAGAAACAGCAAAGAAATAAGTGCAGGAGAGAAAAAAGCCAAGACTTGTGTAGTGCTTTATGGATCACTCATGCAAATCTTTTTTTTTTTTTTCGAGACAGGGTTTCTCTGTGGTTTTGGAGCCTGTCCTGGAACTAGCTCTTGTAGACCAGGTTGGTCTCGAACTCACAGAGATCCGCCTGCCTCTGCCTCCTGAGTGCTGGGATTAAAGGCGTGCGCCACCACCGCCCGGCTACTCGTGCAAATCTTGACTGTGTTTTTAAGACACTGTCTTGTTGTATAGCCCAAGATGACCCAGAACGTAGAATCTTTCTGCCTCAGCTTTCCAAGCTCTGGTTTTACAGGAATCCATCACAACCCCAGTCCTTGTATTTTCTTAGGTAAAATGGGGCAGCGTTCAGAGAGTATGAAGTCTGGTTCTGTAAAAACGACAGATCTGGTCAGATAGCCGCAAAGGTGCTGTGCAGCGGCTGGCAGAAGCAGGTGCAGTTGGCCCCTATGAGCACAGCTGGGAAGGGGTAAGTGCAAGAACAGAAGAAGCGCATTACAGAAGCTGCTCCAACAAAGCAGCAGACATAGAAATACAGACTCTGGGCCCGGGACATGAGATGGCTTGTTTATTTTTCAATCTCCTGGTGAAATTACCTAGTAACCTTGTTTCCCAAAATAATGTATTTATTATCATTGACTAGAATAAGGCCTGCAAGTAGGACAGCTCTGTTCATATAAAGTAGAATCATATTCACTTACAAGTGACTGCGCAACTACAGCTATCAGGTGGCTCCTACATGCAGCGTGACAAATACGTGCCCCTGCAGCACGCAGACAGTCAGAACATAGCTTTCCTTTCATTTTTAGCTTTCTCTGACTTGCAACACACTTTCTGGTTGATACTGATCATTTCACACTGCTGCTAAAAGTCACATTGAAAGCTGGCAGTTCAACAACTTACCTCTTATCCTTCTTGGCTGTGTTCAATATTCAGAGGTTGACACAGTTATAGTTTTTAGCGGTTTAACATAAAGACAGACATTTCAGGGAGAACTGACTCCACATCAGCATGGGCAGTGTGTCCAGCGGATGCAAGGCCACGAGGATGTGAGCTTAGTAATTACACTGATCATTTCCTAGAAACTGATTTCCTGAGTCAAACCTCAAGGGCATCAGAGCAAAGGAAGACACTGACACAACTGGACTATAGTTTCCAGGCAACTGGCCTTTTAGGAGAATCTAGACAGTGTCCTGGCAGCTGCTGAACACAGCAGCAATCTATGAAAAGGAATTTAAATAATTTTTTTTTTGCTAAAAAACAAAACAAAAAACCCTCTTTTATTCCTTTGTGCCTCCTTTTCTTTATTGATATTGTAAGAATAATGTCAAAGCCCTAGGATAGCCTAGGAGCCGACCCTCAGAACCCAGTGTCTTCCATAGGCAGAGAGGACCATGAGGAGGCACAGCATAGCTCGCAGCACACTGTCTGCCCTCCACGTCAGTCTGCGATACATTAATAGCCAGGACACTGTGAGATCACTGGAGAGAGGGTGATCTAGCAATAAATATCACTAACTGGAGAAATTTAGTTACATGCCCTGGAAGTTCTGTCCAAAATGTATAGAAAAAAATTATAAATGTGACTATTAACACACAGAAAGAAATAAAGCCACAAATCCACACCCCACTATGTCAAAAGCACAGCAATCCACACAAGAGTCATGTGAAAATGAAGGAGCAGAAAGCACACAGGGAGTTCATGATTATATAGAGCGAGATGTGAAGGTGATGATGGAGAAAGAAAAATGCAAACAAAAATCATTGCCGTAGTTAAGGAAAGCTGTTTCTCACCGTTCTGAACAAAATGGCTGAACTAAGAGCATCTGATTGGCTATGCCCATATACCCTCCTCCTCATCCTATGGGGAGAGATGACATGGGAACAATGCCCCAGGGCAGCATGGGAATGAAAAAGAGTTGGTTAGTATTAAAACAAAGGCATAAACATAATGCAGCAGAAAAGAAGTTCTTGGCTTTTTTTTTTAACATTAGCTTCTAGTCCCAACTACAAATTAGTAATTAGTTTATGGTTCCATGGTTACTCTTCTACCTTTCCCAGAGATGGACGTGCAAAATTCATCAGGTCAGAGTTAAGGTCTGTTTGCCTCCCCACGCCAATAACCTCCACCTCATATATAAACCTTTTCCATGGGAAATATCTGACATGCTTCATGCAGAGGCCAGGCAGTCTGAATTCCAGGAGCAGGAAGCAGGCAGAGCAGACAGTGGTTTCTAGGTAGAGGGACACCAAGAACACAGCTCCCTATTTTACATGAGGTTGATTCTGTTTTCCCTCTAACGTCTTAGCTGTGTCTCAGCTGACTTGGTCAACGTATAGAACCCTTCCTTCTGAGTCTTGGAGAGAATAACAATTTGGATATCAGCTGCTACTTTCATCTACACGAATTCTATGACAACTCTAAGAAAATGCTAGAGCTGTCACTTGGTGGACATGTTTAGCAGGGGAGTTTTCCAAGACTTTGCAGTCACATGGATGTAATTACTTGGCTATTGTTTTTCCCCTTCGTTTTATTTTTTTTATACATTTTAAGACTGGGTGTGACAGAGATGCTGGAACTGATTTTGAGCACAGAGATATGAGGTAATGTGCTCAATGCTCTTCCCTGTTCATCACACTTGAGAGCTTGGGAAGGTTTCACCTTCTTTAAAAATTGTTGCAAATTTCAGTTTCATCAATGTCTGTTTTGTATTGGTAGCAAGCTGAAGGCAACACTATCCCTTGAGAGTGTCATGCTGAAGGGGTCCACCAAAAATCAAAGGGAAGAAATTAAGTTTCACCTATCACTTTTAATTTTTTGCGGTACTGAAAATTCAATTTAGGGCCTTTCACATGCTAGGCAAACTACTGATCACTTAGGTACATCCCTGTCTTCAGCTGTACCTTCCACAGAAGATGGGAAGGCCATATACTTTGTAATTCGACAAGAAATAATTTTTATCCTGAGCTGTGCCTTGCTGAGCTTGAGAAAAGTCTTGTTCCTTAACAAGGAATCAATTCTTCAATGAGAAAAGTAGGACTCATGTTTTTCTCATTTTAATGTAATTATTTAATAAAGTCTTTATAAACATTTTAAGCATATGTTCATAACATATTCAGAACCATCAATTTTTTATACAGGAATTTTTGAGAAAAACCTGAGATTCTTCTTCTAAATCTACAACCTAGAATTTGCAATGTGCTACCACAAAATTTATGAATATGAGAGCATACTGTTTAAAAAAAAAAGAGATATTCCAGCACAATCTTACCTGGTCTGGGGAGGGTTTGTGGTTCGTCTGATTGGAACGGGAGGCTTTGAAGTGGTCATCCTCATAGTTGTCAGCCATTAGTTTCATCCGATTTTGTGTCTAAAAAGAAATTCATAGTTTAAATTGAGATAAAATCCCTATAATAAATGGTAGGGCAACAAGTACCTTAAAGACTTCCATGAGCATGCAGCTAGTACTGTCCACAATGAAATCAATTAAACACGGACTCTGAGAGGATACCGCCAAGGGTTTAGTCAAAGCTATCCATACTGAAGCCCTAACCCCAACGTCACCTCATCTAGAGACAAGGACTCAGGGAAGTCAAAGGGTTGACTCCTAATTTTGCTTGTGATTAAGGCTGTGTTCTAAGCACAAATGAGTCACCGATCTCCTCTAGGTGAACACAGAGAAGAGTCTCTGTAGGTAAGGAAGAGAGATCTCATCAGGAGTCAGCAGAGATATTGAACTGCTCACACCTCTAGACCTTGAACAAACAGACCGTAGGGATTATTTTATTTGTATCTTAATAAATAAAGCTTGCCTGAGGTAAAGCTAAGCCACTAAAGGCCAGGGAGTGGTGGCACACACCTTTAATCCCGTGACTCAGGAGACAGAGGCAGAAGAATATCTGTGAGTTCAAGGCTACCCTGGGCTACTCCTGACGCATCCAGAAACAGGTCCAGGTGGTGGTGGGTCACACCTTTAATCCCAGCACTAGGGAGGTGGAGACGGGAGTGTCCACCTAGACGAGGTGGCTGGGCAGAGAGAGGAATATGAAGGAGAAGAGACAGGAACTCAGTGGGTGTGGAGTCTGAGGATTCGTGGAGACAGGATCCCACCCTTTTGGTCTGAAGATTTGTTAAAAGGTCTGTCTAGTGGCTAGATGCTTTGCTTTTCTGATCTTCAGTTTGAACCCCAATATCTGTCTCTGGGTTTTTATTATTCATGCGACACAGACAAACACTGTTTTGGTCACCCATTCTATGGTATTTGTTATGGCTGTTTGAGCTAAGATAGGTAGGTAACTGTGCAGGGAAGACAAGCCTCAATCAAAGCAAGCACTTTATACAGTACTTTTTAATATTGCTAAATAAGACTAGATTGTACTACACATGTTATTCTGCAACTTTGATTTTTTTTAGTTATATTTAGGTAGGACTCATTTTCATGTATCTAATAACTGACTCATCATCTTTATAAACAGCTATTCAGTTTTGGGTGGATTTTATATAAATATTAAGATCATAAATATCTGGGAAGAAGTTATTACTTAAAATGAAATAATATCATCACCTAGAAAAATCTAAGAGAATAAAAAAGCAGGTGACAAGGAGAGAAGTTACATGTATAGAATTTAATAGCCATCAATAAGTAATTTAGAAAAAGAACAAAACAAAACAAAAAATAAGTAATTTATGTTTGAAAATAATCAAATACTGTTCTAAAATCCTTTCCAATCCTCCATCTTTGCTAAAAAGGAGAAGTGGTGACTGAGCATCTGGGTAAATGAGTGCTACCCTAAGATCTTCGAAAATCACTTTGTGAGCCAGAATACACAAAAGTAAGTAATGCAAGCTACACTAATAAAATAGTGTTCAAATAAGGCTTTAAAGCACTAAAGTCTTGCTCATATTGTATGGTTTTTAAATATTGACTATGAACACAATCTAAAGAATAACGTTAAAGAAAGATTACCCATGATTCCTCTAATGAGCAACAATCTCTATTAATATCTAAGTGTTGTGGTTTAAGGAGCTGTTCTGCCTTAGGCTCAGCTGGAGGTGCTGTTTCAGGGAGGTTTAAGAGGTACAGCCTTGCTGGGGGAAGGATGTCACTGGGCGTGGACTTTGAGAGGACGTAGCATTGTCTACTTTCAGTTAATTCTGTCTGCTTTGTGTTTAAGGTAAAGATGTGGTCTCTCAGCTTCCTGCTCCTGCTGCCATTCCTGCCACTTGCTGCCCTGCTTCCCTGCCATAATGGGCTCTCATCCCTCTGGAATGTAAGCCAAAATAAACTTCTTCCATAACTGGTTTGGGGCTGTGGTCTTTTACACAGCAACAGACAGTAACTAATAAACTAAGTATATCCACTCAGCCTCCTCCTAGTAGTGAACACATAAAAGGGAACACTTCTGATTTACCCTTGTTTGGTGCCTTTTTCTATATGTACGGTATTTGAAACACCATTCTATTGCACAGGGAATTTCATCTCTGGCAGGAGACACTGTCTCATTTCCCTACTCATCTGGCTTTGTCAAAATTGGACTGTTTATCTCTTAACACATTTCTTGGTGAATTAAGAGCATTTTCATTATCCTTCCCCCCAAATATTTACAGAAATACCTAATGAAGCTTTGGGGCAAGAACTTTAGGGTCAAACTTGAATGCATTGGCACAGGAGACCGCTTCCTAAATATAACCCCAGTAGCAGAGACACTGAGAGAAACAAGTAATAAATGGGACCTCCTGAAACTGAAAAGCTTCTGTAAAGCAAAGGACATGGTCAACAAGACAAAATGACAGCCTACAGAATGGGAAAAGATCTTCACTAACCCCACATTGGACAGAGGGCTGATCTCCAAAAGTATACAAAGAACTCAAGAAATTGGTCATCAAAAGAACAAATAATCTAATAAAAATGGGGTACAGACCTAAACAGAGAACTCTCAACAGAGGAATCTAAGATGGCTTAAAGATACTTAAAGAAATGCTCAACATCCTCAAGTCATCAGAGAAATGCAAATCAAAACAACTTTGAGATTACATTTTATACCTGTAAGAATGGCAAAGATCAAAAACACTGATGACAACTTCTGATGGAGAGGATGTGGGGAAAAGGGAACACTTCTGCATTGCTGGTGGGAATGCAAACTGGTACAGTCGCTTTGGATTTCAGTGTGGCAATTTATCAGAATATTAGGAAACAACCTTCATCAAGACCCAGCAATGTCACTTTTGGGTATATACCCAAAGGATGCTCAATTGTACCACAAGGACATGAGCTCAGCTGCGTTCATAGCAGCTTTGTTTGTCATAGCCAGAACCTGGAAACAACCTAAATGCCCTCGACTGAAGAATGTGAATGGAGTACTACACAGCAGAAAAAAAAATTGACATTTTGAAATTTGCAGGCAAGTGGATGGATCTAGAAAACATCATACTGAGTGAGGTAACCCAGACGCAGAAAGACAAATATCACATGTGCTCACTCATAAGTGGCTTTTAGACATAAAGAAAAAAAAAACAAAAAACAAAAACAAAAACAAAGCCCAAAAAACCAAAAACAAAACCTAGACAACAAAGAGGACCCTAAGAGACTAAGAGAGACATACATGAATCTAATAATGTACATGGGAAGTAGAAAAAGACAAGATCTCTTGAGTAAATTGGGGCCATGAGGATCATGGGAGAGGGTAGGAGAGAAGGGGAGAGGAAGGGAGGGTAATGAAGTAAAAGAGTTGTCGTGGTCAAGGTCTCTCTTCACAGCAACAGTAAACCCTAACAGAGACACAACTACACGCTATGCCTAATTGAGGTGTTACAGAAACTAAAGAAAAGCAGGTAAGCCGAGAAAGAGGAGAAAACAGAAAAAGAATAGAAATAAGCCTGATGTTTAAAAGGAAAGGATTTTTCTTATAAGCTATTGCAGGCTCTGTTTACCAGACTAAAAGATGTACCACTCTTTCAGAGAGACCTGTGGGACATCAGATGTACCACTGTTAAAATATCGCGCTCTGACAAAAAGAAAAGGGACACGAGACTGTGCAGTTGTCCTTCTGCACTGTCCTGTTCACTGGGGAATATTATTTTCAGGTGTGTGACTTTTGTTTATTCTGCATTCTGTGAAGCTGTGGTTCTTTGCCCATCTTAAACTCTGATGGTCCTAATAAAGAGATGAATGGCCAATAGGGAGACAAGAGCAAGGATGGGCAGGGCTAGTAGGCAGAGAGTGTAAAAAAGGAGAAACAAGGAGAATGAAGAGCAACAAGAGAACAAGGAGAGGAGGACATCAGGGGCAGCCACCCAGCTACAAAGCAGGCCACAAAGAAAGCAGTAAAGAAAGGTACACAGAAATAGAGAAAGATAAAAACCCGGAGGCAAAAGGTAGTCAGGATAATATAAGTTAAGAAATTCTGGCAAGAAACAAGTCAAGCTAAGGTCAGGCATTCATAACTAAGAATTAGCCTTCGTGTGTGATTTATTTGGGAGCTGGGTGGCAGGCCCCCCAAAAGCCAAAAGAGCAAAATATTCCACAATACCTGTTGTTTCTCCTCTGTGATGAGATATATACAGTGAGGCATGATGTCAACTTCGTTGCTGGGAGCACTGTAAGACCCTTGTTTCCCCAGGTCTCACCTTTGCAAAAGCTCACAACATACATGCCTGCCTCTACTAATGGCCATAATTCAAGCTGTTCAATCAAAAATGTCAACTACTTAAAAGACAGGATCTCCTGAGTAAATTGGGAGCATGGAGACCAAGGGAGAGGGTTGAAGGGAAGGGGAGAGGAGAAGAGGGGAGCAGAGAAAAAGGTATAGCTCAATAAAATCAGTAAAATAAAAAAATGAAATAAAATGTCAACTACTCTGAACTCCTTATTTCTACCCATGAATACTGACAATGGAGTCACAAAGTCCTGTGGACTCTACTTTCAAATTCCCCTCACTAAATATACAGTTTACTCATGTAACCACCTGTATGTTTTCTTACTGGCTCTCTATGTGGCTAACAGTTGCTAACTTGAAAACAAATCTTACAACTGGGTGCTGTGACATGTGCTGTAATCCCATTACTGTGAAGGTGGAAGCAGGAGGATCAGGAGTTAGAGGCTAGCCTAGGGACACAGGAGACCTGTTCAAACACTGAGATAGCTTAGTGCTTGCTATCAAATCTGATGACCTGAGTTTGATACCCAGCATTCACACAGTGGAAAGACAAAACTGTCTGACTCCTACACAGAGAACATTCTGTTTCTTTCCTTCACATCTGTAACTCTAGTTCAGACACTGTCTGTAACTCTAGTCTCCAAAGGCACTAGGAACACTGGTGGTGCACAAATACACACACAGGCAAACACCCATACATATAAAATAATAAAAA